GTGGCTAAACCGCAGAATGTCAGTCAAAACATTAATTTACTCCACACAATAATTTACTGCACACAAACAGTGTTCAAACAATGAGAGCTGTTTCCCCATCTCACACCAAGACATTTTGGACAATTTCATGCTCGACTTTGTAGGAACAGTTTGGGGATGGACCCTTCCTGTTCCAACATGAATGCGCACCAGTGCAAAAAGCAAGGTCCACAAAGACATGGATGAGCAAGTTCGGGATGGTGGAACTTGACTGACCTTCACAGAGTCCTGACCTCAACCCGAAAGAACACCTTTGGGATGAATTAGAGTGGAAACTGCAAGCCAGGCCTTCTCATCCGACATCAGTGCCTGACTTTACAAATGCACTTCTGGAAGAATGGTCAAACATTCCCATAGACACTCCTACACCTTGTGGACAGCCTTCCCAGAAGAGTTGAAGCTGTTATAGCTGCAAAGGGTGGGCAAACTCAATACTAAGACTAAGACTGGGATGGCATTAAAGTTCATGTGCATTTAAAGGCAGGCTTCCCAATGCAATATAGTGTACACTGTTTCTCAGCTGCAGATGGGCAAGCGGGGCCCGGATACATGGCAGGAACACCGGGGGGGTGGTACCGGGAGCTGTGGAAGTGATCAGGTGTCAGCGCAGCCACCCAACTGCTTTCACCTGATAGGCAGGAGTCTGCCTGCCAGTTTTAGCCCTGGTTCACACTGTAGGCCTGTAATTCTTAGGAATAACTCACTGAAATCTGTCTGAACAAGAGTCTAGTGAACATCCGGGTATGATAAAATTTGAAACACGAAATCATAAATTATAATATAATAAATAATCATAAAAAAATAACAATATAATAATAAATTTAATTCAATAATATAATCAAACCAAAAACACTGAAATTTGAAATATAGCGCCAAGTTCGCACATCACTGAGCTTAGTCGTAAAATCGTTTTCAGTGTCAGATGACAAATTTCCCCACGAATCATTATCACTCAATTCTGCAAGTAGTTCTAATTTACTATCGCTGTTCTCTAGCTGGTCTAAAACCGCTTTTGACCTAAAGGGACGCTTTTTGGACGCCATGGACTTCATTCAGTTTCCAGGCAGAAAGAACAGTAAAAATGCAGGCAGGGCACAGGACAAAGCACTAGGGACAAAATGTATGTGAAATGCTTTGATACAGTAATGTTATACTATGTGATTTTAGTGTATTGAGTGAATGTCACTTTTCAAATTTTTGAATTTCCTGCTGTTCCATCCCCCGTACGTCCCGACGCTCGCAGGGAACGTAACCCGGAAGACGGATGCCGGCATCGGCTGGAGGAGATGGCCGGGGACGCTGCAGGGGGATATCGCAGAAGCGAAGGATAAGGTAAGTGAAACACGGATCCCTTAGCAACGCTGCAGGGTAATCCTGAGTGTAGCTTGGGGTTACCGCTTTTGGTACTGAAAGTTTACCCCGAGCTACACTCAGGAATACCTCCACGGAGGTTAAGTTAACAACACCCTGATGAAAGCGATCCGCAAAACACGGTGCAGTGTGCAGAATCAGATCGCATAGGTGTGAATACCTATGCAATCCAATTCTAGTGCAGACCCAAAGAAGGGACCTGCATGTTCTCTGGTGCGGGTGCGGTGCGAATAGAGCCATACACAATGTATGGCTCCAATCGCACCACACACAAGTCGCATGTGATTCGCACAGGAAATGCGATGCGGTTCCTGTGTGAATCACATGCGATATACCGCACCGCATATATGTGAACCCAGGCTTATACACAATTCTCGTGGCTGCAGCAAGGATTGTGTATAAACCCCCCCCGCTGTCAGGTCCGTATGCTATACGGACCTGACAGCGAAAGGGTTAAACCTTCCTTACTTGTTAATGGGTCCTTGCTAGGCTATACTTTGGTGATCTCTTCTGTGTTGTTTAGGTACTGTAAATCTCCACCTCTCTAGGGTAGCCTAGCCCTGCTTTAGAAAATACTTGTCAAATACATAGGCTACTACTGATCTCCATCGGAAAATTCTGTCACAAATCTAAGTTGTATATTTAGAACAAACATACAGCAAATGAAAGCTAGTAAAGGTCAACAAGGGCAGCCTCTATATTTCTCTTGTGACAGGTTTACTTTAAAATGAATCCGCCAGTAGTTTTAATCATTTAATAACCTTGGGTCTACAGGGTAAGTTTCCAAAAAACGTGATCTACAGTTGCAAGAAAAAGTATGTGAACCCCTTGGGATTACGTGGAGTTTTGCATGAATTGGGCATAAAATGTGCTCTGAAGATGACCTAAGTCACAACAATAGAAGATCACAGTCTGCTGAACATAATACTACACAAACATTAGATGTTGCCATGGTTTAATTGCACATAACATGTAAACATTCACAGTGCAGGGAGGAAAAAGTATGTGAACCTTTGGACTTAATAACTGGTTGACCCTCCTTTGGCAGCAATAACCTCAACCAAATGTTTCCTGTAGTTGCAGATCAGACCTGCACAACGATCTGGAGTCATTTTGGACCACTCCTCTTCACAAAACAGTTTCAGTGTAGCAATATTCTTGGGATGTCTGGTGTGAATCGCTCTATTAGGTCATGCCACAGCATTTCAATCGGGTTGAGGTCAGGACTCTGACTGGGCCACTCCAGAAGGCGTATTCTGTGCTGTTGCAGCCATTGTTTTGTTGAATTACTTGTTTGCTTTGGGTCATTGTCCTGTTGCATCACCCATCCTCTGCGGAGCTTCAGTTGGCGGACAGATGGTCGTACGTTTTCCTGCAAAATGTCTTGATAAACTCTGGAATTCATTTTCCCATCAATGACAACAATCCGTCCAGGCCCTGAGGCAGCAAAGCAGCCCCAAACCATGATGCTCCCTCCGCCATGTCTTACAGTGGGGATGAGGTTTTGATGTTGGTGTGCTGTGCCTTTTTTTCTCCACAGTGTTGTGTGTTCTTCCCAAACAACTCAATCTTGGTTTCATCTGTCCACAGCATATTTTGCCAGTAGTGCTGTGGAACATCCAGGTGCTCTTTTGCAAACTTCAAACGTGCTGCAATATTCTTTTTGGACAGCAATGGCTTCCTCCGTGGTGTCCTCCCATGTACTCCATTCTTGTTTAATGTTTTCCTTATTGTAGTTGTGTCAACAAAAATGTTAGCATGTGCCAGAGATTTCTGTAGGTCTTTAGCTGACACTCTGGGATTCTTCTTTACCTCATGCAGCATTCTGCGCTGTGTTCTTGCAGTCATTTTTACAGGACGACCATGCCTAGGGAGAGTAGCAACAGTGCTAAACTTTCTCCATTTGTAGACAGTCTGTCTTACCGTGGACACATGAACATCAAGGCTTTTAGAGATACTTTTGTAACCCTTTCCAGCTTCATGCAAGTCAACAATTCTTGATCGTAGGTCTTCTGAGAGCTCTTTTCTGCGAGGCATGGTTCACATTAGACAGTGCTTCTTGAAACCACTAAACCCAAAACAGGTGTGTGTTTTTTAAGGGCAGGACAGCTGTCAGCAACACATCCAATATCATCACACTGATTGGAGTCAAGGTTGGCTCACTCCTGGCTCCAATTAGCTCTGGGAGAAGTCATTAGGCTAGGGCCTCACATACTTTTTCTTCCCTGCACTGTGAATGTTTACACGTTATGTGCAATTAAACCAGGGGTGTCCAAACTTTTTTCAAAGAGGGCCAGATTGGATGAAGTGAACATGGTGGAGGGCCGAACATTTTTCCGAACATTCTTTGAACCATTACAATTAAATGCAAATAAATTATTTTATGCCAAGTTAATTGCAAACGACATACTTTTCATTTCATAACATTAAGATCAACTGACAGCTGAGTTTTCACAATGTATTGAAAATAAATTTTAAAAAAAACTTACCTGCACTAATGTGAAGGATGAAAAAGGTAGCTGGAGCTGAAGTCTCTGCTCGGCAGCCGGGAGGGGAAGAGAAACACACTTCACGCTGGAAGCCCGGCCCTGACGTCACCGCCCTCTGTCGCTCCCAGCGCGGCACAGTCACCCATGCGCACTGTGCTCTCAAGCATTTACACAGACCAGGGAGAACGCGCCGCAGTCAGGCATGCGCACTGCTCTCAAGCAGAAGACTGTCTGCCATAGAAGGGAGGGCCGTGGGAGGGCCACATTACACAGAGCAGGGAGGGCTGTTGGAGGGCCGTATTAAACCGACCCCCGGGCCGTAAATGGCCCGCGGGCCGGACTTTGGACATGCCTGAATTAAACCATGGCAACATCTAATGTTTGTGTAGTATTATGTTCAGCAGACTGTGTTCTTCTATTGTTGTGACTTAGATGACGTTCAGAGCACATTTTATGCCCAATTCATGCAAAACTCCATGTAATCCCAAGGGGTACACATACTTCTTGCAACTGTAAATACCTAAGGGATACATTGAGGTGGATTTACTAAAGGAAAATAAACTGTGCACTCTGCAAGTGCAGTTGCTCTAGAGCTTAGCAAATGAGGGGAAGATGTGTTGACTTCCGTTATTCAATCATGTGCAAGCAACATTTTTTTTTTTTTTCCTTGCATGCTATTAGGTATTCTTTGCAAAGTGAAGCTTTACCTCAGTTACCAAGCTCTGGAGCAACTGCACTTCAAAGTTCACAGTCTATTTGCCTTTAATAAATCCACCTCTATGATTTGTTTAAATAGCACAATAGTGAATGCTATGGTATTTATTTTATATTGAGAAAAAAAATCAGTATAGATATAGTGTCTGCGTTTGCCATTTCTCAAAGCAGAAAACCATTTAATAATTGTCTATGTTTCTCAGGGATTCTAGTAGTGAGGCCTCTGTACTTGAGTTCACTGGTCTGCAAACCTCCAATGACAAAAAGGGGAGGCTCTGGTGTTTGATACATTTTATCCAATAGAGAATTCAGCAAGAGGCAGTGCTAAAATAACTATGGAGGGAGAACTCAATGCTGGGGTCATACTGAAATATAAGATAGTGGAGACAGCACCTTAGCTTTCATTTATAGTTAAAATATCACTTTTTGGTAGACTGGACCTTCAGTTAAAGTGTTACTAAACCCAGGGCCCTGCATTCACTATATCTGGTCTCCCAGGACCCTGCATTCACTATATCTGGTCTCCCAGGACCCTGCATTCACTATATCTGGTCTCCCAGGACCCTGCATTCACTATATCTGGTCTCCCAGGACCCTGCATTCACTATATCTGGTCTCCCAGGACCCTGCATTCACTATATCTGGTCTCCCAGGACCCTGCATTCACTATATCTGGTCTCCCAGGACCCTGCATTCACTATATCTGGTCTCCCACAGTACACAGAATATAGAAATGCAATTATTTTAGGAAATATAAACTGCTAAATACCTTTTCTCATCAGCAGTTAGAGCAGTCTTGTGGCTTCTATCATTGTCCAAACGAGTAGTGGCAGGGGCGGACTGACAACTCATGGGGCCCCCGGGCAATAGGGGATCATGGGGCCCCTGTGTCCTTGCCCAAACTCAAAAAAGCCTATGAAAAAGGTACCAGGGGCATCTCATGGGGCCCCCTACTGACCCCGGGCCCTTGGGCAGTGCCCGAGTTTCCAAATGGTCAGTCTGCCCCTGAGTAGTGGTTAAAGCATGAATGAGAAGCTTTCATTCTCCCCTATGAGGCTACATAACCCCTTACCTTCTGTCTGGACAGCTCTGATTGGCCCTGCCCTTGCTGATCACATGCACTCTGCAAAGAAAAAAAACCTGAGCATGTGCAGCTTGTCCCCAAGGATCTGTTCTATCAGCAGATGGATTGGGGAAAGTGGAAGAAGGGAAGAATCAGGGAAGACAGGATCAAACATTCATTTTGCACAATGTGGAGGATTAACCCCTTAGGTTCCACAGTGAGTATATCACGCATGCTTTACTGCATATAGAGACTGATTTTACTGTTGTGCATTTAGTAACACTTTAAAGCAAAATTGAAGTCCCTCTGTAAAAAAAACTGCTAGCAGGCAGGTTTTTATTAAAGAAGAGACATGCACTTCTTCAATAAAATCCCCCTACCTACCTGCCTCTCTATTTGCTCTGGCACTGTAAACTGAGCTCTGCATGTGCAGCTCAACTTATCCCAGGTGGTCTCCAAGTGCAGGGAGTGATGTCATCCCCCCACTGGCTAATGAAGAGGCCCAAGAAGAAGTTGTCGGCACTGGCGCAGGACCTTTGGACAGGTAAGTATGGAGACTGTAGTTCTCCTTTAAAGAAATGCTCCCTACCCCTTTCTTGCATTCATATAAATAAGCAAGACGTATGGGTGTGACAGTGTGTGCATTTTCTGCAGGTTTTCAGCACGTTCCATTTATGTCAATGGGCTGCTCTACGCATGACAAATGCAGAAAAGAAGTCCCTGACCCTTCTCCAAAAATGTGCTGCAACGAACCGCATGGCGCTGCAAAAATGCACTGTGGCGTGTCTGTTAAAGGGCAGCACGTTTCTGTGCGTGTCGGGAAAACGCGAGAATGCAAGATTGTGCGCACGTTCCCATTGTGTGAGCCTAGACCTAATGATTATATTAAACTCACAATAAAATTTGATAATTTTTGAATATTAATTTTGTTATTAAGCTTCAAAAACAGATCATATAAATGTGAGTTAGGTAAGTGATCAGAGTGACACAAATTACAATGTATGGCTGAACTTGTCTGTCGCACTGGCTGAGTGACATGTATGTACTATACAGTATGGTTTGCCATTCATCAAAATGTAAAAATAAAGAGCGGTGAAATGCTCCCTCTAGTGGCACTCAGACGCCCACACAGTTCGTCATTTACCTGCAGGCAGTCTTGGTGTAATGGATTTGTACTTTTTAGAAATTAAACACTGTCACGGCAAGGTACGTCACGGCCCTGAAAAATACCTTTTATGTCTTAATCTGATTCAAAAACTTCAGAGAGTACTTATGATGATTTTGACCTAGATCTGCAATAATGATATTCATACAGCTCTTATGGTTAATGAAAAATAACCGGGCACAAGCACTATGTCTTTGTAATTGCTGACTGTCACATATAAAGGAGGGATGAGAAGTTTGTAAAGCAATTTGCTTTGCATGCTTTTCTATACAATCCTTCCAGTCAAATGTCATTTATTTTACTGATGCCTCTTATAACAATACTAATAATACTCCTAGAACCCATGACAGTAATACTACTTCTGATAGAGGCGCTATTACCACTAATACTAGCGTGGCTACTGCTGTCAAAACTGCAGCTACTTGTTTTGAAACAGTTTCCGGGGAGAAGAAGGGGTCTACCCCGACCTGACTCCCCAGTTCTATTCTCTGGCAGTGAAAGAGGTAAGCACCTGTCATACTTGGCTGCTGCAGAACCTGTAACTATGTGCTGTGAACTGCCATTGACTTGCAGTCCAGAACTATTAGCCCATAGCTTATGACTGTCAGTGTGTCTACTACTGCTGTCCTTTCTGCTCCATATGGAGCAGTTTGCTTCTGTCAGGAATGGACTTGCCAATGGTGGTGGTACTCACCTGCCTTGTGGGCTGCAGTACCAAGGCTGGCCAGCGGGTGCTCCCAGCAGCCAGAATCTCACTCCTGCAATCAGGCCATCACCTGAAGCTGATTGCAGGAGGTGTGTATTTAAGCAGGACCAGGCCTATGATCAGTGCCTTGGTGTTGTTTTCCATGAGCCCCTGTACATTGTATCCTGTGTTCCTGTTCCTCTGCCTATCTGATTTGTTGCCGACCCTGCCTGATCCTGACCTCTGCTGACTTCTCCTGCTCTGACTCTGGCTCGTCCCTGACTATTCTTCTGCCTACTCCTATGCTGTTTGACCTCCTGTTGCTGTACCTTGGCTCGTGACCCGTTTACTCTTTGCCTGCTGCTTTGTACTGATCTGCCTCCACCGTTACCGACCCGGCTTGTCTGACTATGCTACACTCCATACTGTCATCCATCCATCCCGCACGGATCCAGTCACTACTGTCCGATCCTGCCAGCCCCTTCACATCAGGTTTTCCCCCGGTACATACCCTCAGCGGACCCCTCTACCACAGTTGGGTGCACTCAGGGGCCGCGACCTGTTCTCAGTCCTGCGCCAAGTCCATCCCCACCATCAGGGGCTGGTGAAAAGGCAGACTGGGGCTTAGACTCTGCGCCCTGGGGAATCCTGTTCTGTGGGTCACTAGAGATCCCGCCGGGAGGTGCCTGACAGTACCTTACGGCCTGCCTGACCATTCCACCTCTCCAGCTTGAATACGCCTGTGTTCCAGAAGCCTGCTGTTTCCCTGTGTCAGTCCACACATCTCTGGTCATACCCGGATCCTTGACAGCTTCCTTAGTAATCCATGTGTTGGCGTGCATACTGGGCCCACTATAGGGCACTAACATCTGCAAAACAAGGGACCGAGGGGGCACACCAGCCTAGCACATTATTAATGATAAAAAAAATAGATAAAGCCACCATTGAATTAATGCGCTAGGCTGGTGCACTCTGTCCCTTGTTTTCTGAGTTTCCCCGGCCTGTTGAGAGGGCAGCAAAGCCGATGCCTTTATTAGATCAGTCGAAGAGTACTTATTGTCTGCCTCTTGGTGCACTCTGCAGTGCAGGGGATTGTTCTTCTTTTGGGCTCTAACACCTAGCTGGTGGTCACCATCTGGCACATCTGGGTGTTGCAGAGCCCATCCCTATGCGCTGTGAATCGCCATTGGCCAGCAGTCCAGGACTACTGGATCATAGCTAAGGACTGTCAATGTGTCTAGTATGGCTCTGTCCTCCCTGTCCCAGGTGGAGTGGCTTACTTCCTTGGTAATCCATGTGTTGGGATGTATACTAAGCCCCATAACTCTGCAGGGCACTAACACCTACTGATGTTCACCATCTGGCATACCTGGCTGTTGCAGAGTCCATCCCCATGGGCTGTGAGCCTCCATTGACCGCAGTCCAGAACTATTGGCCCATAGCTTTTGACTTTCAGTGTGTCTAGTTTGGCACTGTCTTGTTGTATGTTGTACATTCACATCAGTCCCTAACCCTCAAGGGGCATTCAATCTAAGGTCCCTAACTTACATTCATACATACAATTAACCTACCAGCATGTCTTTGGAGTGTGGGAGGAAGCCGGAGTACCCGGATTAAACCCACGCAGGCACAGGGAGAACATGCAAACTCCAGGCAGGTGGTGCCATGGTTGGGATTTGAACCAGCGACCCTAGTACTGCCAGGTGGAAGTGCTAACCATTATAGCCACTGTGCTGCCCATGTATTGAAGTGTATACTGGGCCTCATGACATCGAAGGTCACCAACACCTACCTGGCGGTCACTGTCTGGCATGCCTGTTGCAGAGTCCATCCCCATGGGCTGTGAACCTCCATTGACCGCAGTCCAGAACTATTGGTCCATAGCTTTGGACTTTCAGTGTGTTTAGTTTGGCATTGTCTTCTCTGCCCCATGTGGAGCAGCTCTCTTCCTTAGTAATCCATGTATTGAAGTGTATACTGGGCCTCATGACATCGAAGGTTACTAACACCTACCTGGTGGTCACTGTCTGACATGCCTGGCTGCTACAGAGCTCATCCCCATGGGCTGTGAACCATCACTGGCCTGCCGACCAAGACTATTGGCCCATAGCTTAAAACTGTCAGTGTGTCAAGTATGGTATTGTCCTCTCTGCCCCAGTATCCTACACTACCTGTGTAATCTATATGTTGGGGTATATACTGGGCCCCATAACACAGCAGGGCACAAATACCTATCTGGTTGTCACCGGACAGAGGTAAAAGTCAATGTGTGCAGATTGTTGACATGGAGAGTACATCCCTAGTGGGCATGTTCCATAATACATGACATAGTAGTATTATTATTATTATTATTATTAGTATTTTATAAAGTGCCAATAGTTCGCTCAGCGCTGTACATTACAAAGGGGGACAGAACATGTGACAGAACAATACTAATACAATGCAAAACATGAGGGGATTGAGGGCCCTGCTCTTTCGAGCTTACAATCTAGGAGGGAGGGGATGGTGGCACAGGAGGAGCTAGCTGTGGGGGATGGAGTGGTAGGAAGAGTGGAGGAGGTCGGCAAGTTAGCAGGGGGTGGGGTAGGCTTCCCTGAAGAGATGGGTTTTCAGGGTGCGCCTAAAGGAGAGGAGAGTAGGTGATAATCTGATGGGTTGGGGCAGGGAGTTCCAGAGGATGGGTGACACCCTGGAGAAGTCCTGGAGGCGGGCATGGGAGGAGGAGACCAGGGAACTAGAGAGAAGGAGGTCTTGTGAGGAGCGGAGTGTGCGTGCTGATCGGTACTTGGATATTAGGCCAGTGATGTAGTTCGGGGCAGTATGGTGGACAACTTTGTACGTCAGCGTTAGGATTTTGAATTTGATCCCTTGTGCAATCGGAAGCCAGTGGAGGATTGGCAGAGGGGGGGTGGCGGAGACAGAGCGGTTGGAAAGGTGAATGAGTCTGGCTGCCGTATTCAGGATTGACTGAAGCGGGGATAGCCCGCGGCGAGGCAGGCCAGTGAGGAGGG